GCGCGCGCGTGTACCGTCAAATCAGATCTGACTGGTACAGGAGGAGATTGGCCCTCCTTCCCGGCAGAGCATCTGGTGGATTCGAACTGTGCGCCTCTGGGATTGTAGTTGCAGCTCCTTGCCTCTAGGCCATCAGAGCTCCCCTGGGAGCCGTATTTTAAACCAGGGTTCTTGTACTTGCTGGGCCTACCCTATCCCCGTCTCTGGGTCTCATCTGAGTGGTAGGTTCAGGCCCATCTATGCGGCCCACCTGGAGCAGCTAGGGAGGGAACGGATGACCTGTGACATCGTCCCAAATGATACCCCGTCAAAGACGAGAGCTGCAGCCATCGAAGGCTTGATTTTGCTCAGGTCCCTGTTTCATGTTAGGTTGTGTGTCTCATCCCTCTCCTCTCCCAGCATCTCAAAGCCCACATCTTCCCCTCCCCTGGCTTGGCCTGACCTCCACCCTCCAGACCTTTGTCCCTGAAGTGCAGCTGTCTACCCGGAGCCCCTTGCCACCATCCCTCTGAAGGGAAGAAAGGGGTCATAGTGATATAATGTGAACATGTGGCTCAGATGGAATAACCTTGAACACCGTGTCCCCACCGCTGAAACCCCAGGCACCTGTCACGCCCACCCCCGTCCAACCTCTGGCTCTCTCTGGGTCAGCAGAGAGAGGGGCCTGGGCTTCCGCAGGGCCATGTGGTATTTGTTTTCTGAGGCAGTATGGCCATTTCTCTCACTGAAAGAGGGGGCTCCCCCAGGGTTGGACTGGAGATCATTAACTGAACACGCCACATCCCAGTATTCCCCTCTGTCCCGGCTAAATATCAATGCATGGGCCCCTTCCAAGCAGGGCCAGGTGGTCCTGTTATCACCAGCCCTGTTTTACAGTTAAGAAGACTAAAGTCACCTGCCTCAGACTACATGGCAGGTCATGGGAGCCCCCCGGGGCTCGGGGTCAGGGAGTTCTTGACAGACAAATGCTGTGGTCTGCAGAGGTGTGGACTATTGAGAATCCAGCCCACCCATTCACCTTACAGCCCAGTGCAGTTCATGGAAGAGCGGCTACACACCCCCTCAGGGCCAGCCCCCAGTGAAGGATGTTAAAACAGGGCCCTGTTCACTAGGGGTTGTGGGGTTATAAGGAAGAGATAGGGGAGCACAAAGAATGCCATCAGCCTGGTACTCAGCCCAGGGGGTTGGAATTCGAGGGTGCTTGGCTTACCCATCCACACCTCCCCGAAGCAGCCCTGGCCCAGCTTGACCTCCAGCCGCAGTGACTCCCGGGGGATCTCCCAGGCGTCCTTGGCCAGGCCCTGAGTCTGTGGCTTAGACGTGGGGCACACAGTGATGAGGCGGTGGCACAGGCCGTCGGCATGTTCTGAGGACAGAGGCAGAGATGCAGAGTTCCAGAGGGGCAGCCACCACGGGCTTCCCTGTCATATGACACGTGTGCACTGTATGTTGTGTGCTCGCAGGCTTTGGGGACACCTACGATGTCCTCAAAGTCAGGTGTATGTGCACACACCACACACAGGACCGCATTGCCTCAGGCATCTGCTCACTGAGTCATTCAGTCATCAGATTTTAAGGGGTAGCTACTTAGGCTGGTACTACAAACCCAGAAGGTGGGCTTGGTGGAGTCCTGGCAGGCTTCCCTGTGGAGGTGTCATTTACCTGAGGAAACACTTCAAGCACACCACAGCCTGCACCCAGTGCAAAGGCCCTGAGGGTTATGGGAACTGAAAGGGGCTGGAGAGGCTGTGAGGAAGCAGACAGGTGGTGAACGTGGGAGGTGGCTAGCTTAGACCACCCGGAGCCTCAGAAGCCAGACTGGGGTCTTTCTAAGATTTCAATGTAGCTCCTGGAGGGTTTTTATCAGGGGAACAGGGTGCCATGCTCTGACTTAAGGTTCACAATTAAGTCTGCGGTGTTCAGTTGTGGAGGGAAGGGAGCGTAATGGTGGATCCGAGAGGGAAGCCTGGGCAGCAGAGTGAGGCAGCAGGGGGAGAGTGGCTGGCTCTTAGGCTAAGCAGAGGGGGGCCCATTGCCCACGGAGACCCACGTTTGTGTGGACATACAGGCCCACAGCACCGCAGGGACCAGGCGTCCTAGATATCCCAATGGATCGGCCACACTGCTGCACACGCACCCCACAACGGTGCCCTAGACACACACACACACACACACACACACACACACACACACACGAGCACCAAGAGTGTGCTGCCTCTGCTGCCTGCTCTTTGCTGCAATCGATCCTGCCTCCCCCTCCTCTTCTCCCAGTAACTGGTTCAAACCAGCCTGAGGCTGTGGAGACAAATGACACCAGCCCATGCCCCCTCCCTTCAGCTCTGGTGCTCTTCCATGTAGCCCCCTCCTCACCAGCCAGCTGCAGAGGCGATGGGGAGAGGAGGGTCTGAGGAAGAGGGGGGAAGGGGAAAGAAGAGCAGGAAGGAGGAGGAGGTGGAGGGAGCAGCAGGGACAGCACCTCAGCCCTAGGGGGTCTCTGGGGGGCAGCCCCGCCCCGTGTTCATGGCCGCACTCACTGGAGTAGTAGGCCACCAGCTGCTGCAGGCTGTTGAACTGTGTGCGGGAGGTGATGTAGAAGCCACCGCTGTCCAGCTTGCGGATCTTATAGTGCTTCACATTGAGGCCTTTGGCGTTGTCGAAGTCGGACACGGAGAGGCAGTAGGCACCTGCAGGGCAGGGAGAGGGGAGCTGTGACCACCAGGCCACCCACTGGCACAGCTGGGGGACGTCAGCATCTGCCCAAAGCAGGGGGAAGGGAGGCCTAGGAGGTGAGCAACTGGCAGAGGACAGATGCAGTGCGGGTCCACCTCTTCGCACTCAGCTTTGGGACAGCCACCGAAGTAGGGTCAAGAGAGTGACCCCTGAACAGACTCTTGCCATGCACTTGACTCTGGTGTGCACCCTGTGTGTGCATCCTCGCTGTGACCAGACCTCGCTGGACCTCAGTTTCTCCTCTGCACAAGGAGGATACTCCCAGAATCCCTGGGAGGTTCAATGAGGCCACAGAGAAGAGGTCCTGGCACAGAGGAGGTGTTCACTAAGTAACTACTGGGAGACTGGGAATGATTCCAGCAGCTGTGTATCCCTGGCCCCCTGTGCCCCTCTCTCGATCGCCTATGGGGTCCTGTCTCTGCCCCAGCTCCCTCCTGTAATGAGGTTCAGGTCAAGCTGTGGTGGTAACTGCAGGTAAACTAGGTGCTGGAGGTATCCTGGGAGCGGCTAAGGCTGAACTGGATCAGCCCTGTGAGCCCCATCCTGCTTCCTTTAAGCCTGGAAAAGCTTTGGCTAAAAGTTTCCTCATGTCCAGCTGGTTGGAGCCTCTGTTGCCTCGAGCCCAAGATGCCTAGAGAGGCATCAGAGAGTAAGTAGGGGGATCCCCAGAGCTGAGGGCGTGGGGAGCAGATGACCCAGTGGTCAGAGAAGTCCTCTGACTAGAGGTCCTCCTGCCCAGGAGCCTGGTCCAACAGAATGCAGCACTGAGCTGGAAGTCTAGCCCTCAGCCCGCAGACCTGCTTTCTGGAAGGTGGTTATTATTATGTACCATCTAGTCAGAACTGACTCACAGCTGACTCTCATGGGTTTTCAGAGGGATTCAAAGCACGTGCTTTTGAGTCGGAAGCACAATTCATTACCAATAAGCAATGATATTCAGCATACAGGAAGGGAACCCACATTCCCGCTCTCCAAAGCCCACACGGGCAACCTTGCCCAGCCAAGGCCACCCGTGCACACTGCTGCGATGCCACAGCCAGTGGTTCACACAGTTACACAGGCACAAAGGCACCCACACAATTCACTCAAGGCAAGGACATGCCTGCCCATGCACACACAGCCCACTCCTGCACGCACATACCCACCTGCACACACACAGCGCTCTCCTGCACACACATACCCACCTGTGCACATACACACACGCCCACGCACATACACACACGCCCACGTGTGCATGCACAGCCTTCTCCTGCACACACATGCCCTTCAATGCACAAACAGCCCACTCCTACATGTGCACCCACACACATCTGTGCACACACAGCCCTCTCCTGCACGCACATACCCACCTGGACACACACAACCACCTGTACACCCACAGCCCTCTCCTGCACACACGTCCACCTGTGCACGCACAGCCCTCTCCTGAATGGACATGCCCACCTGTGGACACATAGCCCTCTCCTGCACACACATGCCTGCCCGTTCACACACAGCCCACTCCTGCATGCACATAACCACCTGTACATGCACAGCCCACTCCTGCACACACACATCCACCTGTGCACACACAGCCCTCTGCTGCACGCACATGTCCGACTTCCGTGCACACACAGCCTTCTCCTGCACAGACAAGCCCAGCAGTGCATGCACAGCCCTCTCCTGCATGCAAAAGTCTGCCTGTACATGCACACACAGGCTCAGGTGTGTGTGTGGTGGGCACTGTGTACCTATCTCTGCTCCGGTGAGCTCCAAGCCCAGACGAAGCAGCGTAGCTTCATCACTATGGCAACAGGAGCACCTGTGACCCATTTTTGGAGGGGTTGGAGACAAAAGGGGATCTGCATTCTCTAGGTAGGGATGGTGGGAGAGGAGCAGGGGCTGGCATTATTCGAAGAGGGCAGAGTCAGGTCCCAGAACCCAGTTCGGCCACGGAGGCCCCTGGGGAACAGGACAAGATGGGTCAACTGGATCAGCACCCACCCTGCCCCTTTCTGTGCTATCCTTGGACTTCCTCAGCATCTGTCTCCACACTTTATTTCCGGAAACTAGGGCCAGAGAGGCTAAGATTCACTTTCAGCTGTACCCCTGGCCCCCTACTCTATATAACAAACTTCTATTTTTCTAAATGCCCGGTTCCAACAACCCACCAAAGACCTGGTTCTCATGGGTTGGCAGGACTGCTCGTACCTTTCGTGGTCTCACTTTCTCGCACTAGGAAAGTCCCTCGTGGGTTTTCCACATTGAGCAACAACCTTTCCGATTCCCGTCTGGTGATCTTGCCGAAGTACCACCTGGACAAGAAGGAGAGGTGAGGTGTTGGCAATCCAGGCCTCGCTCGCCCATGGTGCCTCATCCTGGGATGTGCCTGGGGCCCTGGGCAGCCCAGGAGAGAAGCTGGACCCATTGGGCAGTTGGCAGGTGGGTAAGCCAAGGACAGATACTCACTCCTCAGCCTGGATGGAATCAGAGGGTGCCACGTAGTTGCTGGGGATGTAGCCCGTCTGTCCTGTGCTGAGCGAGTGGGCCAGCCACCAATCTCCCTCTCTAAATGGGGAGCGAGAGGAAGAAGAGGAGAGGGAGCCGTCAGCAGTGGGCCTGGGGCCTGCAGGCTTCTGGGTGCCATGCAGGGTGAGGCTCAGGAAGGCAGTGCACCAGCCTGAGGCCACACAGCCAGCCACAGGCAGCTGACCTGGAACTCTTCCCCTCCCTGCCCCAGATGCCGCCTTGCCAGAGCCAACTTAGACAGCCTTTACCCAGGATGGACCTTGGTCCTGCAGTCTGGTCCACAGGGACATACTCCTGGGCAGGGAAGAAAACTACTTCCCTTCCAACGGAAGTCAACAGTGGAGCCAAGCGCTGCCTTGGGAGCGAGGTAGGGAGTACTGTCCCGGGAGCAAGCAAGCAGGAGAGAAGCCTCCTGCCCGAGACTGATGTCAAGTGTGACCGTCCGGGCTTGGAAGCCCAGTCCTGGGGGCTGGCGAGACCTGGTCCAAGTAGGGGGTGACTCTCTTAGGGGCTGAGGACAATCCAGGTCCCAACCCTGTAGCCTAAAGCATATGCTTGCTTCTGTCACAAATCACAGGTCCCACCTGAAGGGCTCCTCCTGCAGCTGCCCATCTGCATGGGAAACTGAGGCCCGAGAGCTAGGACTTGCCCAAAGTCACACAGAGCGTCAGGTCAGAGGGGCCGAGGTGGCAGAGGCCCTAGTCCCGGGGCACATCTACACTGACTGCCCATGAGGGGAAAAGGGTGAGGGGCGGGGGAATAGGAGGAGCTTCCCAGCAGGGTGGGGTCCCCTGGCTGGGGTAGGCATGGGGAGGGGATGGAAGTACCTTTGCAGCCATCTGAATGTGAACCAGGTCTGGCTGGAGCGGGGGTCCAGAGACACAGAGGAGGGAGAAGAAAGCAAGAGAACAGGAGAGAAGAGGCAGAGATGGGGGTGGTGAGAGGCAGAAAGTGCGAGGGACAGAGTAGGAGAGCCAGGCTTTGCTGGGGGCCAGGGATCGGGGGGGGGGCAGCCGGCGGAGGCCTCACATCCAAAGCAACCAAAGGGGACAGGGGGAAAGTCCACAGGGAATGAGGGGACCTCAACAGTGGAGCAACAGAACCCCACTCCTGCCCACACCCACTGTACAGATGGGAAGACTGAGGCCAGAGATGCAAAGACCTTTCCTCAAAGTCACACAGCCAGACCCAGGCTCCTGACTCCTGACAAAGAGGAACTCCCTCCTCCCTTGTGCTTACTGAGATTGTCTTAGAAGAAGTCCTGGTTATGCAGTGGTTAAAGTGTCCAGCTGCTAACTGAGAGGTCAGCAGTTCAAACAACTGACTTGGCAGCAGCAGATCTGGCTGGGGTTTGGAGCTAGTCCTCCTCTACCCTGATAAGATAAACAGCACACAGAGCGTCCACCCTGCCCAGGCCCAGGGAAGGAAAGGCCCTTGCTCACAGTCACAGTGTCGGAAGCTGGCCCCTGCTTTCTGACTCACTACTCTTCTGAACGGCCCCTGACTGGATCCTTCAGGCCAGCTTGAAGGCCATGACAGGGCAGGGCTGGGGAGCTCCCCAATGACCTGTAAGAGTGTAGTCTGAGTATTGGACCTTTGGACTCAGACAGGTAGGTAAGGGCAAACCAGAAGCCACAGGGCCCCTGCTGGATGGAGTGAAGCCAAGGGGCGAATGGCTGGGGCTGCATGGCCTGACCTGATGGTGCAACTTCAGAACACTCGTGTGGGGGTTTCTGGGGGAGAGGGACACCTAAGGACCAAGTCCTGCCTCAAGGGAAGGAATGCTTAGATGCTCAAATTCACCAGCCACCTCTCCACTGTGTCCACTTGGAGGTGCTAGCTCGCATCTGTTCTGTCTCACCCTCATGGATCCATTTTGCAGATGAGGGGAAACTGAGGCTCAGAGGTGGCTGAGGGCACGTAACGCCAAAACAGCCTCAAACAGTCTTTGCACAATTGGGGAAACTGAGGCACAGAGAGCTGTGGGGGCTTGCTCAAAGCTACAAAAAAGGACTCCAGTCATAGCAATGGCTGTCGCCTTACCAATGGGGAAAGCAAGGGGCAGGGAGTCACTCAAAGCCACACAGCTGATCAAGGGGGAAGTGGGGAGGTCCCCCAGTGCAGTCATGTACAACCAGCCTCCCCCAGGCCTCAGAGGGTAGATGGAAGAGGAGGAAGGAAGGCAGGGGGAGGGGGCAGGAGACAGGTAGTACCAGTTCCGGGCCAAAGTCTAAGGTCAGAGGTCACAAAATGGTTTGCTTAACAGAGTCAGGGCTTGCAAGCTGGCTAGGCTCCAGGGGCCCCTGAGCCGCCACATGGAACAGACAGCCCACAGAGAGAGCACGTGCCCCTCAGAGAGAGCAGAGCACGTGCCCCTCAGAGAGAACACGTGCCCCAGAGAGAGAGCACGTGCCCCTCAGAGGGAGCACGTGCCCCTCAGAGAGAACATGTGCCCCACAGAGAGCACGTGCCCCACAGAGAGAG